GTTGTGAGCTGATACATATAGCTAGTTGAGGGGAGCAGCAAAATGTAGCTAGTTGTGGTCAGCTGCTAGACATGTAGCTAAACTGCAACTCTGAGACAATTACAGTATCAAAGGTGCACCACAGTGTAAATTACTAAGAAATAGGGGCTTCACAACATGCAAATCAAGTGTAGACCAGTTACACTTATTTTTTGCTTTTTACATTACTTTAGCAGATGTTTATGTCAATGTAACTTTAATCCTTTCAATGTAATATAGTTTATTCATCAGTGCCTTGGGTGAAACTTTCAGGGATGAAAATTATTAATGGAGAAGTAGCAAGTAGTAATCCTGCAATTTCAGAAAATAGCAGACCTCACAACCTCTGAGGATACCTGCCATAGATGCAGGTGAAATGTCAGGAGAGAATGCTTCTAGAACAGGGGACCCCAAACTAAGGTCTGGGGGCTAGATAAGGCCCTCCAAGATCATTTACCCGGTCCTCGCTCAGGGTCAATCTAAGTCTGAAACGACTTGAAAGCACACAACAATAACAACAGTCCTGTCTCATCAGCCAAAAGCAGACCCACACTTCCCATTGAAATACTAAGTTTATATTTGTTCAAATTGTTCTTCATTTTAATTATTGTATTGTTTTAAGGTGTTTTTGCACTACAAATAAGATATGTGCAGTGTGCATAGGAATTCATTCATTTTTTTTTCCAAATTATAATCTGGCCCTCTTAAGAGTTTAAGGGACTGTGACCTGGCCCTCTGTTTAAAAAGTTTGAGGACCCCTGTTCTAGAACATGGCCATACAGCCCAAAAAACCTACAGGAACCCATTTGAACATGCTTATGCCATTTCTTTGGCTGGTACATGTAAGGAATAAACATAATTTTGAATACCCCACACTACTTTGGGAATTCAAGCCAGTTGAGACAACAGTGTAAAAAAATTTTTTGGCTGAAGCCATCTTTTCCTTAAGTTGCAAAATCTATTCATTGAGTTGACTTGACAGCATGGTTTCAATTTAATTGAGTTCCATGTAACATAATTAATTAAATTAATTAATTTAATTACGTTACATGGAAAGGTTCATGCTGTTCAGATTATAACAAATAGCTAGGCTTAATCCTCTCCCTGGTGAATACTTTATTAAATTTTCTTTTTAATAATTACTACATAAAGGTTTACCTTGGAATGCAACTGATAAACTACGTGTCCTGTGCACCAAGTTTTTTTTTAAACTAATTCAAGAGATTGTAACTGAGTCAGCAAAATCCCAAGTAATGAAGCAAATTGTACTGATTCAGACCAATTTGTGCGAGCTCATCAGATTAGATTGGCTCTCAGTTCCTGAGCAGAATGTCTCCATCCAAAGTACTCCAGATACTAAGTGGGAAAAGCTAGACATGTATGTCCAAATGACAAATGTTTAATGCAAGGCTTTACCCATTGAAAGCTATATTATGTAATCGAGGATGAATATATCACACACACACACACAGTATTTATGTAGGGTTTTTGAAATTATATAGGCATTGATCATATATTTGCTAAATTTATCTATTAGTAACTGATAATGAGTTGTTGTGAAGGATTCATTGTCATCTAGTTGATGTTCCCCAGCGCCCTTCCCAGGATCTGATCGCAGGTTTTCTGCTTTAAACTGGATTATAGGAGTCCACACTGCCAGATCATCTGGGATAAACCGAAAATTTCCTTTTGTCTTGTTGAATAGCCAGTCTTAATCTGTTTGCCTCTTATTTTTAATTGGCTTGCTTATGAGTTTATGTGTCAAGAAGTGAAACTTTCTCTGTACTCTAATTGTCTGTAATTGTTTCTATTGGGATATGGGAGCATTCTCTGGAATCACCAATTGAGGAAATCACAAGCATCATTTTCTACCTTCAGTTTAAGGGGTCAAATTAGCCAGGCACATAGTACCAGCAGTCTGGTCCCACATCTTAAGGAGCAAATTGCAGTTTAAAGTTTTACATACTTAGCTGACTGATGCTCTTTGAAATTTCATTGGATTCCAGGCCTGCACAACCTATGGTCCTCTAGGTGTTTGGGTCTCCCAACTGCCATAAATCCTAGACAGGAATTCCAGGAGCGGAAGTCCAAAAACACCTGGAGGGCTGCAGGTTTGGCAAGCCTGGCATGGTTTGAATTTCATGCACATGTGTGAAAAGGAAGCTAACTCATGTTTTGGTTTCCCTGCTCAAACAAAAAGGGAGTTATTCACAATTCAGATTCCCAAATCTTTATCAAATTGAGGCAGTCCATTAGAATGATAGTCCCTTGCTTATTTGCAGCAGCCATGGAAGTGTTTTCCAAATTCAGTACATTTTAATGGAAACCTTCAGATTGGGACTAAAGATAACAAATTTCAGCATTTGTACAGGAAAATGTAACCCAGGTCTGCTCCATGCTTGCATGTTCCTTCAAATCACTTGTTGACTTAGGTCACCCCAAGAATTTCATTAACATTTTCTAGACAAGTAATACTGAGTGGCGGTTTTGCTAGTTCTGCTGAAACATAAACATCACTTGGTATTTGCTGGTGATCTCCCATCCAAGTATTAATCAGGCCCGACTCTGCTTTGCCGCCAAGATGAAACAGAATCTAGTACCTCTAGGCCYAAAGGTGTATTCTGTCAATATTTGAATATTTTTTAACTGAAGATGAGGGGGGAGAATGGCAATTGCTAGTTGGTAAAGCATGGACATAATTGTCTTTCCTGCTGAAATCTCTCCCCCCCCCCCCCCCCCTTTTGACTTGTGAAATTACATTCCCCAAGTTACAAGCAAGATAGGTTCTGTAGGTCTGTTCTTAAATTAGATTTTATGAAAGTTGGAACARATACATTTTTTAAGTATAGCTCTAGCCAAAGATACATATTGTTCAGTTTTGGATAACACAGGAAGGGCTAACATCCCTGTGGATATTGTTTTGCTATCTGTGCCACTATTCAGAAGATTTCACCTTAATTTCTGTCCCTATTGAAAAAATGTGACTTGTTGTAGAAACAAGGATTGATAATAAAGCTTCAGTGGAGACACCTTTTCCCCATGATAACTCTTTCAGGAGTGAATTTTCCTTCCTAAGGGTAGATTTCTCTCACTTCCTGTTATTTCACCCCTGTTCGTAACCACGAACTGTTTGTAAGTCAGATGTTTTAATTCAGGGACTGCCTATACTATTTTCAAATTGCTTTAGGTAACAGTGGCTGGAATGCTGTCAGTGACATGCACAAGGGTAAATATGGCTCATGGACGTGTATGCCTCTTTTTAGATGGATTTCTAGGTATTCTATAATCCTTTCAACCCCCACCTCAGCAGCTGTTGATTACAAGAGCAGTTGTTGCTCCTATTTACTGATGAGGAAAAGAAACGGAGAGGCTCCAGAGAAGCAATAGAAGAGCACACTCCATCTGTGAGCCCACCGCTGTCTCCCTCCCCAGATGAGCTGATTCTTCAGTGTTGCAACTTGCTCCTCTGCTGGTAAGCAGCAGTGGTGGCCGCTCCCAAGCATGTCAGCTATAAGGAATGACTACTGGGTAGGTAGTTTTTTGGCTGGCCTTAAAGCAGCGTTTCTCAACCTGGGGGTTGCAAGGGAGTGTTAAGAGGGGTCGCCAAAGAGCATTAGAAAACACAGTATTTTCTGTTGGTCATGGGAATTCTGTGGGTCAAGTTTGGTTCAATTCCATCATTGGTGGAGTTCACAATGCTCTTTGATTGTTGGTGAACTATAAATCCCAGCAACTACAATTCTCAAATGACCAAATCAATCTCCCCCGAACCCCACCTGTATTCAGACTTGGGCGTATCAGGTATTTGAGCCAAATTTGGACCAGTGATTGAAAATACATCCTGCATATCAGAAATTTAAATTACGATCCATAGCAGTAGCAAAATTACAGTTATGAAGTCTTAAAGGGTTACTCGGATGGTTCCTTGCATTCCTTCCAGACACAAACATGCAGGAAATGGACACAGAAGTCAATACATGGAACATTAGAGTCTGCCCTCGGTATCCAGACATTCTCAAAAACAAATAAGGATTTTTGCCATTTTATATATGGGACATCATTTTACCATGATGGATATAATTGGACTTGAGCATCCATGGATTTTGATATCCAGGGGAGTCCTGGAATCAAACCCCAAGGGCCCATCCATGCTCTATACCTGCTTGGGTGCTACACATTTGGTGTTGATGGTTGGACACACATCCAAAAAGTACTACCTTTTTGCCATTTAAGATCTGATTTTTTCATTTTAAAAGCATCAAGTAAGTGTGACTACAAGTTATTGATACATGAACAAAGCAGGAAGAAAGGGTGGGTTGGTCAAGTCACTGTGGTTCCAATGGAATTGCCATGGTTTTGTCCTATGGGATTTGGTTGCTGCAAGTGCAGGGAAGAGCATTTACTTTGATGCTTCGTCAAACACAGCTACAAAATTGACATAGCGGTAAAAGAATGCAGATAGTATTGGCAATATAGTTTGGTCTTTGACACAAAAGGCTGAGGTTTTCTTCTCAAACTATAACTCCCATGATTCCATAGCCTGAATCTTGATAGTTCCAAGTGGTGTCAAACTACACCCATTCATTACTCTGATGCTTCATCAAATTACAAATCCTAGGATGGAATCACAGCAGTTAAACTGGAATACCCCTCCTCTAATTGTGTAGTATGAATGGGCCTCCTGAAAAGCTCTGTAGTGGCTCACCCTGACTTTCTACTTCATCACACTAGAGAAGGAATCCATTTTAAATCTGGTTTCTGCCTCCTGCAGAATTCAGGGGTTTGTAGTTTAGTGAGTAATGGCTCCTCCCTAAACTACAAAACCCAGAATTCTGCAGGAGGCAGCAAACGGATTTCAAGTGGATTCATTCTCTCCTGTGATCTTGAATGCAACACCTGCTCCTTGTATTGTTTAAGGATCCAAATAATGCATGGCTTGAGGAGATGGATTCTCAGAAGGAAAATAATAAAATGACATCAGATCTTTGTAACACTTTTACTTCCACTGTATAAAATCAACCAACTCATCTTGGCTGGGCTACAGGAGGATAATTGAAATTTAAAGTAAGAGAGCAGGAGTAGGGATGAGTGGGTGAGAAAAGGCAATGCACACTGTTTGTTGGAACAGCAAAAACAAAGGCAAATCAAACACGCACTTAAAAGAAAATCCAAACATAAGGGAGGACAAACAGTGATTCTGGGTTGTTGTGAATTTTCCAGGCTGTATGGCCATGTTCCAGAAGCATTCTCTCCTGAAGTTTCGCCCATATCTATAGCAGGCATCTATGCCATAGATGTGGGTGAAACACCAGGAGAGAATGCTTCTGGAACATGGCCATATAGCCTGGAAACCTCACAGCAACCCAGTGATTCCGGCCATGAAAGCCTTCAACAAAACAGCGATTCCTTTCAGGGAGAAAGATAATTCTCCAAACAGGCATCATAACCTCCCATTCCAACATTTGTAACCAAATATTGCTTAAGAGACAGTAAAAGACATCAATAAAAACAAAGGCCAGTCCAACACAGTGCTTTCCCCCCAAAAATCTTGCCTTAAGAGTAGGACACCCCTACCTCCCCTCATTTAAAACACACCTAAAAAATAATCATTTTCCATGTAGATCATGTACACATCAACAAGCCAAAGTTTATGTTGTGTGGCTTTTTTCTGACTTAAAAGTTATTTTACATATATATACGGTATATAATAAAATAAGAATGCTCTTTTTCTCCAGCCAAGCTCTCATATTAAAGAAAGCTACATCCGTGGGAGCGTACTCCTATAGAAGCTCAAACCCATTTATTAAAAATTAGCTTATGTTTTACAATAAACAAATACAGTACCTGTAAATGGGCAACGGTTATCATTCTCAAAATTGAGTTAATTCAAGGCTCCCTGGCTACTACTGTATACAAACTAGAAACTATACCCAGGGGGAGTTTATTTGAGACAGAAATCAGGAACATTTTCTCGCTGTACATTCTACCATCCTCGCGTTTAAATATATTAAGAGGAAACATCAATGGATTAAAGACCATTATTATTAATTTTGTTAAAAAATTGTCTTCGTTCTGCCTCTATGGGACATTTGAACACACAAAATCACAAAAAAAAAATCAAAGGGAATGTCTCTTTTCCTTCCGCCTCTAGGGGGCAGTGGCGCGAAAAATAGTATTAAAAAAACCAAGGGGAGTGTCGTTTTTCCTTCTGCCTGTAGAGGCCGCCCACGGGCAAACTCCCCCAAAGTCGCAGTGCGAGCAGAGGGCGCGCTATTCAAAATCCAATGTGTTTTGTCTATCCGCCTCTATGAGGGTCTTCGTGCTAAGGGCGGGTGTCATTCTTATTTCGGCCAGCAGGAGTTGGGGTGGCGCGCAATTACCCCAAGGTGGCTGTGCGAGCGAAGAGGATGCGCCATCCAAAAATGCCATCCACCTCTAGAGTGCGAATGAAACATAAATACAAAGTTGTCTTTCTCCTTTCTGCCTCTAGGGGTCGCCCATGTGAAACAACTCCAAGATAGCGGTGTGCTCCATTCAACATCCAATTTTTTGCCTCCTATCAGGGTCTTCGCATTAAAGTAGTGCCATTCTTATTCCTGGCCAGTAGGGGACCTTGCGCACAATAACGCCAAGACGGCTGGGCATTCCATTCAAAATCTGATGGATTTTTTTCCTCCTATCGGCCTATGGAAGAATCTTCGCGCTAAAGGAGTGGGTCATTCCTCCTATCAGCCTATGGAAGGGTCTTCGCACTAAAGGAGTGGGTCAATCTAATTCCTGGCCAGTAGGGGCCACCCACACGCAACAGCCCCAAGGCAGCAATGCGCTCCATTCAAAATCCAATGTTTTTTCCCGCCATCAGCCTTTATGGGAGAATCTTTGCACTAAAGAAGCCTGTCATTCTAATTCCAGCCAGTAGAGGTCGCCCGAGCGCAACAACCCCAGGGCAGCAGTGCACTCCATTCAAAATCTGATGGTTTTTCCTCTATCAGCCAATGGGAGAGTCTTTCGCTACAGGGTGTCATTCTAATTCCGGCCAGGAGGGGCCGCCCGCGCGCAACAACCCCGAGGCAGCAGTGAGCTCCATTCAACATCCAATTTTTTTTTCTTTCTATCTGTCTGTATGGGAGGATGATGGCAAATAGTCATTCTAATTCAGGCCAGTAGGGGCCGCCCGCGCGCAACAACCCCAAGCCGCCAGTACGCTCCATTCAACATCCAATATATTTTTTTGCTATTAGCCTCTACAGGAGGATCGTGGCATAAAAGTGTCGTTCTTATGCCGGCCAGTAGGGGCCGCCTGTGCGCAAAAACCCCGAGGCAGCAGTGCGCTCCATTCAAACACCCAAGGTTTTTTCTTTCGATCAGCCTCTATGGGAGGATGGTGGCAAAAAAGGAGTGTCATTCTTGTTTCGGCCAGTAGGGGCCTCCCGCCCGCAACAATCCCAAGGCGGCAGTGCGCTCCATAACATCCAATATATTTTTTCTATCAGTCTCTATGGGAGAGTCTTCGCGCTAAAGGAGTGTCATTCTAATTCCTGGCCAGTAGGGGCCGCCCGTGCGCAACAACCCCAAGGCAGCAGTACGCTCCATTGAAACACCCAATGTTACTTTCTTTCTATGGGAGGATGGTGGCAAATCAAGGAATGTCGTTCTAATGCCGGCCAGTAGGGGCCGCCCGCGCGCAACAACCCCGAGGCGGAGGGCGCGCCGCTTTCCCCCCGTGGATGTTTCAAACTAGCGGATCCTCTTGCCCAGGAGATGCCGGGCGCTTTTGAGCGGGGGCGGGGGCCCCTTCCCGTGCATTTTGGACAGCGGGCAATACTTGATGGTGTGCGCGTTGTCTCCGCTGGCGCCGCAGAGAGGGCAGGTGTAGCGCCGCAGCACCGGGCACAGGACGCGTCCGTCGGGCCCTTTCAGGATGTGCGTGGTGTAGAGCGCCACGGCTTCCTTGTTGTTCCGGCAGAAAACACAAACCTGTAAGGAGCTGGGCTTGAGCAGGCGGGCGCTAGGACCACCGCGGGACGAGCAAGAGGAAGGCAGCAGCAGCGGAGGAGGAGGCGGCGGCGGCGCAGCAGCAGCAGCAGCGAGAGAAGCGGAGGGCGGCGCGTGGAGGAAGCGCTCGCGGGCTTCCAAGGCGTCCCCGCAATGGAAAACCCCCGGCGGTGCCGAGAAGGGGCTCAAGCCGGCGAAGCGCTGCTCCAAGCGGCTGCACAAGTGGCGCAAATCCAGCGCGGCGCCGAAGTACTCCTCCCCGCTTTCCTCCTCCAGCTCTTCCTCCTCCAACTCTTCCTCTTCCTCCTCTTCTTCTTCCTCCTCCTCCTCCAAGTCCTCCTCCTCCTCCTCCTTCCTGAAGCCCTTCTCCGGCCTCTGGATCAGCGTCGCCAGCCCCAAGTAGTCGTTCCACGAGTTGAAAGCAGCCCCGTGCGGGCTCTTCTTCACCCCATAATGGGGATGGTAGCGAGGCTTCTCCAGTTTCCCCGCGTGGAAAGCCTCCATCGCCTCCGAGGAGAAAGTTTCTTCCCCCAAACTCCTCCCGCTTTGCTTCGCCTTCCTTCTGCGAGGGGGATCAGCGCCGACAGCTGCTTTAGATCAAGATGAGGGAGGGCTCCGCTGAAAGGACCGCGCTCTCATTGGACGGCGGCCAGCGCGGACACGCCCCCCGCGGCTTCCGATTGGCTCTCACAGCTGAAGCGGGGAAGGCTAGGATGCTTTCAGCAGTCAAACAGGCAGGGGCAAACTTAGGCCCTCCAGGTATCATTCCTAACAGCCTCACTATTTTGGTGTGTATATATATATATATATATATATATATATATATATATATATATATAGGTAAAGGTAGTCCCCTGACATTAAGTCCAGTCATGTCTGACTCTGGGGTGTGGTGCTCATCTCCATTTCTAAGCCGAAGAGCCAGCGTTGTCCGTAGACACCTCCAAGGTCATGTGGCCGGCATGACTGCATGGAGTGCCGTTACCTTCCCACCGGAGCGGTACCTATTGATCTACTCACATTTGCATGTTTTCGAACTACTAGGTTGGCAGAAGCTAGGGCTGACAGCGGAAGCTCACGCCGCTCCCCGGAATCGAACCTGCGACCTTTCGATCAACAAGCTCAGCAGCTCAGTGCTTTAACCCACTGCGCCACCGGGGGCTCCCATATATATATATAGATATATATATATATATATATAGAGAGAGAGAGAGAGAGAGAGAGAGAGTATAATATTAGGTAGATATAAACAAATAAATAGTAGTTGTAGGTTTTTTTGGGCTATATGGCCATGTTCTAGAGGCAGGCATGTAGCCGGGGGGGGGGCTTGAGGGGCTTCAGCCCCCCCCGAAATTCTCATGGTGGTTCGCGAAAAGGCCTTACTAGTGCATTATTTAAACTGTTATGTTTATTCATATCATGATCTGATCACCATACTCAATATATCCTATATGCATGGGGGTATTGGGGTAATGATACAAAAGGTTTGCTAGGCTAGACCCTCTTTCACTCAGACTCGCCCCCCCCCGAAACTCAGCCCCCCCCGAACCCCCCTGAAAAAAATTTAGCTCCCGTAGCCCCCCCACCCCGAAACGAAATCCTGGCTACGGGCCTGTCTAGAGGCATTTCTCCTGACGTTTCGCCTGCATCTATGGCAAGCATCCTCAGAGGTAGTGAGGTCTGTTGGAACTAGGAAAAAGGGTTTATATATCTGTGGAATGACCAGGGTGGGACAAAGGACTCTTGTCTGCTGGAGCTAGGTTTGAATGTTTCAACTGACCACCTTGATTAGCATATAATGGAAGGAAGACTGCCTTTTCTAGATGTCCTAGTCATCCGCAAACCAGATCAACAATTGGGTCACACCATTTACAGAAAACCCACACACACAGATAGATATCTACATAAAAACTCCAACCATCACCCAAGTCAAAAAAGAAGCACCATTAAAGCCTTGGCAGACCGTGCAAAAAGAATCTGCGAACCCCACCTCCTTCAAGATGAACTGAACCACCTCAACTGGGCTCTCCAGGCCAATGGATACTCCACCTCAGACATCAGAAGAGCTGCAAGACTAAGAACAAGCCACGAGAGTAAAGATGAAGATCCACCCAGAGGAAAAGTGTTCCTGCCATACATCAAGGGAACCACTGACCGCATAGGGAAGCTGATGAGGAAACACAACATACAAACAATCTACAAACCCACCAAGAAAATCCAACAAATGCTACGTTCAGCAAAGGACAAGAGGGATCCTCTCACCTCTGCAGGAGTCTACCGTATACCATGCAGCTGTGGACAAGTCTACATAGGGACCACCAAACGCAGCATTGCCCAAACACGAATCAAGGAACATGAAAGGCACTGCAGGCTACTTCAACCAGAGAAGTCAGCCATAGCAGAGCACCTGAGGAACCAGCCTGGACACAGCATATTATTTGAGAACACAGAAATGCTGGACCACACCAACAACCACCATGTCAGACTACACAGAGAAGCTGAAATCCACAAGCATGTGGACAATTTCAACAGAAAGGAGGAAACCATGAAAATGAACAAAATCTGGCTACCAGTATTAAAAAACTCTAAAATTAGAACAGCACAACAACAGAGAGGAAACAAACAAGGACATCTAATCACCTCCCAACAAAAGATTGCTCCAGGCACTGCCAGGCAATCAAATGCTAATCAAGGTGGTCAGTTGAAACATTCACACCTAGCTCCAGCAGACAAGAGTCCTTTGTCCCACCCTGGTCATTCCACAGATATATAAACCTTTTTTCCTAGTCCCAACAGACCTTACTACCTCTGAGGATGCTTGCCATAGATGCAGGCGAAACGTCAGGAGAAATGCCTCTAGACCATGGCCATATAGCCCGAAAAAACCTACAACAACCCAGTGATTCCGGCCATGAAAGCCTTCGACAATACAAATAAATAGTAATGAGCTAAGATTTTGTGCAAGCAATTGTGGCAAAGGTTCCTCTCTAGAGAAGATTTCAAGCAAAGCTCTCTGCACATTGTGGAGAACAAAGCCCTCCCAACAGGTGGCCATCATGCCTCAGTTCAAAAACCTCCAGAGGAAGAAACTCAATTGGGAAAGATTCATAAAGGGCATCTAGTCCAACCTCCTTATGCTACAAAGGAAAACACAAAGCCCTCCCAACAGATGACCATCCAACCTCGGTTCAAAAATCTCCAGAGTCCAAAACCCCTGGAGGACCCAAGTTTGTCCATACCTGCTCTACACACTATAGAATTGAGGCTGTTCCATGCTAGGCCATGCCCCAGGCTATGGAGTTGTGGGAGTTGTAGTTTTGCAAGGTTGCTAGACTTCTCAGTTTTGGACTCCAACTCCCACCATTCCTACCAGTCTCAGGCTCTTTCCTTTTCCCCCTCAGCCGCTTAAGCCTGTCTGGAAGGGCCTCCAGTTTCTTTCTTTCTTTCTTATGGAAAGCCATGCTGGAAAAAGAAAACACCTCCTTTACCTTTAACAGTTGTAGGTGATGCAAATATCCAGTACAAGCAGGTGATGAGGATCCCATAAAGTCTGGGATCCTAATTGAGGCATTTAAGACTATTTAGTAGTCTCTCATCCTCAGTGTCATGGTTATGCATATGCTATTTTTCTATAGCAAACCATGCAGCAAAGCAACTTAGTCCCCAGAATATCAAGGCAGAAAATCGCACAATATCTGATTTGAACTGAGTTATCTGAGTCCACGCTGACATATATTCCAGTTCAAAGAAGATAATGTGGGATTTTATTCAGCTGTGTGGAAGGGGCCTTGATTAGCATTGAATGGCCTTGCAGCTTCAAAGCCCAGCTGCTTCCTGCCTGGGGGAAGCAGTCAGCTAACACCTCCCCAACAAAGGGTTACCTCAGACAGGAAGCAGCTAGGCTTTGAAGCTACAAGGCCATTCCATGCTAATCAAGTTGGCCATTTGCAATATTCACACCTGCCTCAAGCAGACAAGAGCTCTTTCTCCCATCCTGGACATTCCACACATATATAAACCTCACTTGCCTAGTTTCCAACAGATCTCACAACCTCTGAGGGTGCCTGTCTTGGATGTGGTCAAAACATCAGGAGAGAATGCTTCTGGAACATGACTATACAACCTGGAAAACCCACAGCAACACAAGAAAAAATATTCTTTCTAAAAATTAGGAAGAACTTATTTGCTGTAAATTCCATTTGTCAGTGGAATAAACTCTCTTGAAAAAGAATCATTTGGATGGCCATCTTCCAGGAGTCCTTTAGTTGTGCACCATTAAAATACAAACCCCAGGACCCCATAGGATGCAACCAGTGAAGTTAAAGTAGTAGCATAATGATGTAATTGTACAGAGTGAAAGGACTCCAGGTCTTGAAGGATCCACACATGTTATAGGCAACTTCTGCAGCAACTTGTATTTGGAGTCTCAAAGCCATGCCTTCCTAGGCTGGTTGAAAATAATCTAGACAGAAGACCTCTTGTCATGCTGTCTAAAGAATTATAGATATTGTCTTTAAAAGATTAGCTTCTTCAGGCTGTGACAAAGAGATATATGCAAAGCTTAGAAAAGCAAGGGGCATGCTATATGGGAGATATAATCGCAAAAAGTTATTTCCCCTGGCAAATATGAATGCACGCAGAGACGTACTCCATGAGTCAATAACAAACAAGGATCATCAGGCAGTGGGTTGCTGTGAGTTTTCCGGGCTGTATGGCCATGTTCTAGAAGCATTGTCTCCTGGTGTTTCACCCACAACTATGGCAAGCAACCTCAGGGGTGTGAGATCTGTTGGAAACTAGGCAAGTGAGGTTTATATATCTGTGGAATGTTCAGGGTGGCAGGCATGTAGCCGGGGGGGGGGGGGCTTGAGGGGCTTCAGCCCCCCCCCCCCAAATTCTCAGTGTGGTCCGTGATAATGCCTTACTAGTACGTGGCACGGTGGCATCCTTGTCTGCGCCTGGGCCCTTGGCGCACTCTCTTTCCTTTTCGGTGCCCCTGGTTTCAGCCTTTGACACCAGGAAAGGAAGGGGAGTGCGCCAACAGCCCAGACACCAGAGAGGATGCCACTGCAGCACAGACTATTCGAAGGCCACAATAGGTCTTCACGGCCATGCACTTGGCAGGCCTTCGCACCTGTGAATTGAAGTCTCGACACACTCGTGGCTGGGAGTGAAGTGAGTCGAGCCCATCAGCTGCTTTCTGGAACTCTCCCCAATCCCTCCCTCTATGCAAAGTTGGGCACATTGGCTCTATGTGCCAAGTTTAGTCCAGATCCAGCGTTGGCTTGGTTCAATGCCCTCTGGATAAGGGCACACTGCAACTCCCAGATTCGCCAATCCCCCCCAATCCCCACCTGTCCTGTATGCACAGTTGGCCATGTTTGGTCCAGTTATGATGTTGGCTGCCTTCAGTGCTTTCTGGATCCAGGTAAACAGCAACTACCATTTGAAAAGGGCCATAATTCCCCAATCCCTGATCAATATATCCCATATGCATGGGGGTATTGGGATAATGATACAAAAGGTTTGCTAGGGTAGATCCTCTTCTCACTCAGACTCAGCCCCCCCCCCCAAATCAAAATCCTGGCTACAGGCCTGCAGGGTGGGAGAAAGA